TGCAGATCTTAATCCCAGGTAATAGGATGTAATAGGTAGGCATTTATATTGAGAAGCACTATTGTTCTCTACAATAGTTGCTATAAGACACTTTAGAGTACAAGAGGCCATAGAATAACACCTGGTTGTAGCTTGTTTTCCGTACCTAATCCAGCTCAGGTATCCATATCTCCCCAGGCATTATATAGCCGCATCTTTGATCATGCGCACGCATACATATTTACAGTGTATAAAATGTGAGGTTACACCCGGATTCAGCATTCTTGACAGGAGAGTATCAAAATCAGGCCTACCCTACACCCTAAACAAGAATCCAAAAGAGGGAGCCCTGTAATCCCCAGAAGTCACGCCAGTTCCTGAGCATTCCAGCTTGGGAGACACCGATATGGGCCCCCCTTAAAGCGAAAATACATACTATAATTTAGGAGGACCCCCCCAACCTGTAATAGCGACTATAAGGGATACTAGTAACTATATGAGGGTCCTCTTATATTCCAATTATACCACTATACAGGGTGGCGGTCCACCTAAACTATAATGCTTCTTACGCTTGAAGGCTCAGAGGAAGGAGTAAGTGGTTCTTAATGGATTGATAACCAACCCCAATGAGGGGACTCAGGACTCACTTATCAATTGTTAGCCTAAAAACCACGTCCTCTGCGACTCGAACTAGGGACCCCTAATTGTTCAAACCACAAACATATTGGGGGTTTCCCGAAATTAGGGGTACCATTGAGGGGGTCCCCAGAGTAAGGAGTATAGTGTATTGGGGTCTATATAGGGTTCCCCTGATTTTCGGAAACTACCATATTGAGAACCCGGGACCTGTGAGGAGCACTGCTGCCACACTCCATCCCAATTGCAGAGCCCTGCCTCCGGCAGTCGGGTTGGATCATTCTGGGGTTTACGGTTCGGGGTTTAGGGTTTAGGGTTTTAAGGACTAGAAATCCTGCATGACCTTTGTACAAAGGACTTATATACATATATATATATATTGCAGACTTTAGGGGCTTCACCGCATAGGGTTGGCAGTATCCCTGCTTTAGGGGGGATCTCTCTGGGGGGTTCACGCTTGGAACCCTTGTGCCTGGCCACATTGCAGATCCTGCGCCTCGCGAGCATAGGCTGAGGACACTCCCAACCCCGCTTTAGCCAAAATCCGCGGCAAACTCTCGGTGCAGCGCTAGGACAACATGGGGGGGTTCTCCCAAAATGTTTGGGGGGTTATATTCCCCCAATCATGGAGAATCAAATGGAAGGGAAAATGGAAAATGAAATGGAAACTGGGAATATATAGTGGTTTATAAGGGTTATATGGAGGTTTCCCAAAAATAAGGGGTACCTTTTGGGGGTCCCCACAATAAGGATTATCACGTCCATTCCCTCCTTACTCCCAAGGCAGTAAACGTCTGGTACGTTTGCTGGAAGGTTTCCCAAAATTAGGGATATCTTTCTGGGGCCGTGCTGCTGCCAAACCCTTGACCCCAAAGCCTAAAGTATTACTGTTGTACCCACAGTGACCTGTTGTTTGAAGCGCGGAACAGGGTCTGAGGCCGAGACGAGCTGAAAGCACCAGCCACTCTTCGAGCATTTGAGGTTTATGGGGTTTGTGCCTGGAAAGCTGGGAGATTCAAGTAGAGCACGCAAGGTGCTCATTGGAACCAGAGCTACTGCAAAGGCATGCGAATATTTGGCATAACCTGCACGCCCAACTGGAGGCCCATACCTGCAGTGGATGGGGAAAATCGTGCACCACTCAGATCCGTTCAATTCTGTAGCTCCTAGAAAACATGGGGCAAGATTTCCTCCAGCCAAAATAGGGCACGGCAAGCTAGAATACTCCCATCAAGACCTGCGGCCGAACTGGTCCTCGTAGCTTACCCGTATTAAAAGTATATGAGTTTCTTAGAACGGCACCCTGCGGGACCGTAGACACTCCCTGTTCTACGGCCGGGAGCGTGCAAAAAACGACGTGGGTCCTTCCTTGGGAGACAGGGTGGAGGGGCCCTTTTGGTAAAGTCATGTTGGGGTATACCCTGAACCCTAGACGGCTAAACCCTAACCACCGAACCCTAAACCCTCAACCAAAATCATGTTGGGGTATACCTTTCAAGCCCTCATTTCGGAAATCATGCAAAACCCTGCCATGAGCAAAACGCTTGAAGAACGATGACCACCTGCAGAGTAATACCTTTCCAATCCGGAACACTGCCAATAGAATACCATTATCCATTAGGGGGAACCTCAGCCCCAAGCCCTACTATCCGTTTGGGAAAACATTTATCATGAGGGGGGTGGAAGGTTTTATTCTTAGGGAGAAGTGACTCGTTGGCCGAGCAGCATGGTGAAGGCGCGGACTGCCGACACCCCTTGAATCACACCTTTTCCAGGCCTCAGATTCAAGGGTTTCGGGTTTAGGGATGAGGGCAGTCGTCTATCTCTATTATTATTATTGCTTTTATGAGTACTACTAAAACGGTCTTAGGGGCCCTGAAATAAATCTCAGATTTTAGGACTCTCCGCAGGAGGGCCATCATGCTTTGCGGATTCTCACTCAGGATGAAACTGGTGAGGGAGAGAGAGAGAGAGAGACGAAACGGAGTCAACAATTCCATGCCCATGCCTGTGCTGTACGGGCTGTGACTTCGTACCTGCACTGCTGGGAGACTCTGACCAGGAGTATGGGCCTGTAGTTACGCAAGGGCACCAAGAGGGCATAAAGACTGCGCAACTCGTCCTGGGCTCCCTGCACGTTGTCGCCACTTGAGGCGGCCAACGCCCCCGAAGCCAGCTGCTTGCCATACCTTCCAGCTACAGTGGATGGAGCAAATGTTGCACCACTTGGGCCCATGCCTTCAACATGCACATCGAACAAGAGGCACTTCAAGTCCCGCCCTTAGGTTTTGGGTAAGGTTCCAAAAAGCTCTAGGGCTAGACTCCCACGCTTTCAAACTGACCACGAGGAAATTGACGGTTGGCAGGTTAATGGTTCGGCGACGACAGACGAAACTTGCTGGTTGCTAGTAGGGAGTGCATCAAGTGGAAATAATCTGGAAACAGTTTTTCAAGGTCAGGGAAAAGAACATGGAAAGAGCCATAGGGGTAACTACAGGCATCCATTCCTCCATTTCATACTCACAACCAGTCAGCAAAAACTGTTAGGCTTATGATGCCGATGCTGCCTGTCTTCCGTATATGTTGCAGACCTCCCGGTAGTAATGAACAGCGAAATCACACTAACACATTTGCCAGCATCAATGGCAATGGCAGTGACAATAGTTGGGCTACTGGTAGGGAGCAACTAGTGGGACTTTCCATACACAGAAGGAACCCTCATATACCCTCATTATACTCTAGTCACTTGCACTGATCATGGCAGACGCCAGTTTGGAGTTGCGTCTTGTATGGTTTGGGCGACCCGGCCAAGTTGTCAAAAGTCCAAGCAGGGTCTGAATCTGATTTGATGCTGCCCTGGTACCAGGCATTGCGTCCGGCCAACATGGTCACGTAGGTATCCTGTCAGCTGAGCAGACTTTGGTTGTGAATACCAACTCGGATTTGACAAACATGCTCTGAGCAATACATTGGTAAGAAATCTCATTCCTGATTCCCGCCACCCTGCTTTTCAGATCTCTTGCCAGCTTCGGAGGCAGTTTACGAGTCACGCGTCAGGGGCTTCTCCTTACTAGCGATTTCTACATCGTGCGCAGGAATGGCTCCAAAATGCCAAAAGAAAAGACCTCCAGAGGTGCATAAATCATGAAGACCCCTGCTCCTCGCCATAAGTGGAGGAGGACTACTAACTGTTGACCAAGATTGTCATGTAACGCTACTTGCACATCTTAAGAAATCAGCCTTGGCCACGGTCATGCAGTCGAGTCTCAGCCAGAAGCGGACCAGACAACGTTTCTGGCCTGCGCGACAAGACCTGAGGGTAAGAGTGTCAAGAAACATAAAGGGCCACAGCACGCAACAAGCACCTTAGAGTTTCCAAATTCAGGGGCCCCTTGTTGGAAGTACCCCACGTATAAGGTCAGTCCAAGCCGCGCATAGCCACTAAGTTCACTGCTTGCAGTGTCTGGGGAACTTTGGCAGTATAGTCCGCCTTAAGCAGATAGAATATGAAATTGCCCAACATCAGAAGATGACCCCCATATACCCCATATTCTATCTACATAAGGGGGACTATAAGCCCTAAACCCTAAATAGTAGTTTCCATTTTCTTTTCCATTATCCCAATATAACCCCTATAACCCCTATATCTACTTAAGGGGGACTATAGGTTCACAACCCCTGTAAGTCACTCATTCTCCATTATTGGGCCCTGTACCCCTCTATCCCGACATAACTCTTATAGCATCCCCATAGAGCCCTTATATACAATCCCTATACCTTAGGTGGACCCCCCACCCTGTAATAGTCACTATAAGGGATAATAAGGACTATATTTGGGTCCTCTTATATTCCTCTTATACCACTATTACAGGGTGGGGGTTCCTCCTAACCTATACCAGAAACCCTCCAGGTAGTGGCTCTGCAACTTATGCCGGATCCAAGCAGCATGCGTGATGAACGACATCTCCTAGGCAAAGGCCACAGGTTCAGGGTTAGGGTTTAGCAGTGGGAGAAACACTGCTGGCTAAACACTTTTATTTAGGGTTGGTACAGACAGGGAAATACAAGGAGATTATCACAATAATGGCGCGCGACCCAGTCCAGTTATATAGCAGTTTACGAAGATTTTCAGGCTTCCCGCTACGCACAACAAGGAATATAATAGATTGGGGTCTATGTTTGGGTCCCCATTTTGGGAAACTACCATTGCGCAGCTGGTGGATATCATGGTTTTCTGTGAAGGGCCTGCGCTGCCCGATTAACAGCCCGTACTGCTCATCTCTCTCTTGCCTTTTGCTGCGGCTAGAGAAAGCTCTTGATGGCAGCAGCGCACTCCCTCGTTCCGCCGTCTAGATTGCGGACTGGCAGTGAGGATGGGTTGCCGCTCATTCAATCTCCTCAACATCTACAGTAATCTGCGAGACCTTCCTGGCGCCACCCAAAACCAGACGGATGTGCTCCCTGCCGGCAAAAGGGAACTGCTTGCTGACGCCCTGAGATACAACCGTGGCCGTGCCCTTAACGCGCTGCGTCTGGTTTGACAGGTACAGCTCGAACGCGTTAGAGTCATAGCGGGTTTCAGAAGAATATCTGATGACAAAGCTTCCCCCGACCCTGAACGAGTACCTCTGGCTATCTACCTTGCGGTCGTCCTCAGGCGGGAATTGCTTCTCTGGTTGCCACACGAATCGTTCAGCGCCGGCGGTGCTGGTGGCATTGATTTGCGGGACCACTAGGCTCGCGAGTGAAAGGGTGATCTTCGACACGCGCTTCGCCCCACCCAACATCACACGAACAGCGCCATTGCCGGTCACTGGGAATTGTTTGCGAATTCCTTGGCCAACCACTGTTGCAATGCCCTTCGCTTGTGCCCATAGTGGAAGCTCCAGCCTGAAGTAGTTGACGTCAAAGCGCGTCTCCGAGTAGTACGTGATCCAAAAGAGGGCCCCAATCTTTGTCTTGTACCACTGACTAAATATCTGCCGGTCCCAGGTTGAAGGAAATCCGCCATCAGGTTCCCACACGAAGTCTTCCGTCTCTTGGACATCCGGAATCACCAACTTTTGGATAAAGAGCGTGATCTTTGAAACTCGCTTAGCCCCATATAGCCTCAAATGCTCTCCACCTTTGCAGGACACTGGAAACTGTTTGTGGACTCCTTGGGCCACGACTGTGGCGGTTCCTGTCACCTGCGTCCACGTTGGGAAGTCCAAGTAGAGGATGACTGGATCATAGCGTGTCTCTGTGTGGAAGTGCATGAAGAAGTAGCCTCCATTGCTCATGTTGTAGGCCCTGCTAGAGATCTTGGTGTCCCACTGTCTGGGAAAGCCATTCTGAGGCTGCCATTCGAAAGCCTGCATGTCTGCAGATGACGTGTCATTGAGCTCAGGGTAGATCACCTCATCGATCGTCACGGTGATTTTTGAGATCGTCGCTTTTTCCTGAGCTACAAGCTCAGAATATACTATACTATCGCAAAATATAGTGTAGTATAGTATATTACCAACCTTTGCTGCATGTATGGCTGGCATATGGACTTAGTAAGTGGGTTAGTCATGGGGATAACAAGGGTTACTGTACGGACTATAGAGGTTATTCACTTACTTACTGAGGCCCCCTGACCCTCCAAGTAGGGCACACGTAAGAATCCCAAGCTCTGGGCGTCCCCTTCATAAATGGATTTTTCACAGTAATCGGCCTAGGGTTTAGGGTTTTAGGGCTTAGGATATCCCGTAGGGCCACCCCTACAACCACGTGCCTAAATTGAGAGTTTAAGGTTTAGGGTTTAGGGCCTAAACCCTAAACCACGTGGGTACCGTCTGTTGCAAGGCATCTCATCTGGTCGGTGGCTTTTAGTGTAATCTGGAAAACCCGCTCCCTAAACCCTATAATTTCAAATCTTTCAAACGCTGAATGCCCTGAATACCCTAAACCCTAAATCCCATTCCTACCTTGAGCCCTACTTTAACCAACACAATCACACTCAACAAAGGCCCAGTCAAATCAATCACAGACTCGCCCAAACTGACGAAAACGTCCCTGCCCGACGAAAAGGCTCTCTCCTTCCTTGTTGCTTGGGTTTACGGTGAAAGAGACATCAGGCAGTTTCCAAAAATTAGGTACTGTATCTTTTTTTCAGGGCTCTATAATCAGGATTATCATATGCTGGGGTCTATACGGGGTTCCCCCTCTTTCGGGAAATCACCACGCAGGGCCTACTAGGGATTATGTTGTGGAGATGTAGGGCAAACAGGGATGTTGTGTATGCATATAGGATAAGCCACTAGCTTAGGCATCCGAGTTTGTCACCATGTGGCCTCTTTTGGTGGCTGTTCTAGCCTATGGCAAGAGGTGTTTCTATCACGGGATAACTTTCGGGGTTCTCATTTTGAGAAACTCGCACCCGGAGCCGCTGGAACATTTCGTGCTTGAAGGCGTTCCCCGGGCCACTCCGGAACCCAAAATCAGGCTTCAAAGACGTGGTTCTTAATGTCAGGACTCGCGAGCACTCCTTTTTCTTATTGAAGACTTCTGCAAAAGAGTTGCCACCAGTCCAACATACAACCCATGTGAACATCTCAAAAAATCTCTTGGGGAGATTGGATAAACCTTGGATAAAAGATAAAGTCTTGCACCACCTAATATACGTTATACCGCAACAATTATTGCAGTATTTCGGGGGTCCTAAGTGGCTGCAAGATTTCCTCCGTCCACCGAAGGATGAGATAAACCATGAAGGCACGATCGTCTCCGTAAATCAGGGGCTCCAAGACAACCCGAAATACACCAACATCCTTATTATCGGAACTCCCAAAAACGGGCCCCTAAAACCGTAACAATTTTGGATACCTTCAGCCCTAAACCCTGAACTTTAAACCCCTAAACTTCAAATCTCCAAACTCTACCAGACTTGAATCTAGACCTGATCTTCCAGGTCTCCCCATAATTCGAAGGCCCTGTAAAGGGATCATGTAGGGATATATAAGGTCATAGAAGCATTTCCCAGGATCTAGGGGTTTCCCAAATTTAGGTGATACTCTTTTTTCGGGGCCGCTACTGTACACAAAGGATTGCAGTGTTTTTGGGGCCCGAGGTTTAGGGGAAATTGCCCCCTTGGCGGGATCCTCGAGTCTCTACTCGGATAGGTAACTTGCCTATAAATTCTAGGGTTAGGGCTTAGGATCCTATAAAGGGTGTGGGGTTTACCTATAAAAGGGGCAGCATGGGGTATTCAGTGGACATAGTCATAGCATACCTTCAAAGTACATATGTAGCGTTGTGCCCCGAAACTGGCTCAAGCTTCTCCAAAGCCTCGCCAAATCGGACCCTGCCAGAAATCTTCACGAATGGCGGGAAGTCAAACGTCACGCCATTCCTGGTTGGAAGAAGGGCTTTAATGCAGGTGGTCGTCAAAACTAGCACCTTCCATTCAAATCCTGGAAATGCGAGGGGCTGTACATGCAATACTACTACGCAGTCTACAAGTAGAAGGTACGTTTCTCAAAGAGACCAGGTAGCCGGGTAGCCACAAGGGCATCAGTTTCCTCTTTCGCTGGGTGGTCTACCATTTGTGGCGCGTGCATCATTACTTCAGACTGACTCATTGTGGATCCGCTGCGCGTTGGCTCTGGAAAGCGCTCGCCATATGTGATAATAAGCCCCTGAACCCCCTCATGGTCAATTCTGACATCCATCATCAGGGCGGTGGGGGGTTACTGTTGGGGGGGGAAAGCTTGAGGTACTGCCCGCACGCTGTCAATCCCACTACTGGTAGCTGACTCCACAGGTGACGGCGGACAGCCAGCCTGTGCAGTACTCTTGTCTTAGCCACGCATCTACTGTGCCACTCCGATACCGAGATACCAAGGCAAGGTGAAACAGCAGTCCCTTTCAAAGCACCAACCCTGAGCTCGTGGAACGTGAGCAGAATTCAATGGTGTCTTTAAATGAAACTCAGGCAATGGTGCCTTATGCATGTGATGTGTGAAGGGTGAATGCGTGAACATCATTCTAAGTTTCTGGTTGGAAACTGTGTGACGGGGTGTGGCACCCATGAACTCACGAAACACATTCAGCTTCAAAGAAGCTAGCGCAGTCAAAAAAGTGCAGAACTTTGCTAACAGTCGCCCAGGCTCAGATCATAGCGCGTCTCCCCCGCGTACGTCATGTAGAAGGAGCCTCATTCGCCATCTTAAGGGGAGCCAGGCTAAACCCTAAACCCTACAAGCGACCGGGGTTTCCTGAAATGTTCCGAAAACTCCGTTTACAACACGGCAAAGGAAGCGTAAGCCGGCAAAATACACTTCACGTCCATACTGTAGATGCCTGAAGGATTACCTGTATCATTTTGAAGGCTACGTATTCCATGTGCCCTATATTTTATTCACAGCAGAAATCTAGGACAATACTAGTGGCAATTTTTTAGGCTTTACATTAACACATTCTGGACGCCAACGCGCTCGGCATTGGGCACGGTGGCGCTTTTATGAGCAACTGGGAAAATCAAGTAACTCTTTCTGAATCACACCGAGGGGCCTCCGCCAGCCAGAGTATACCACGGACTAACGATATTCTTCGAAATCCTTGGAGGAAACCCACCCTGTGGCTCAAAGATGAATGTCTGGTTCTGGACGCGGTCAGCGCTGACCCGCACACCTGCAAGTGGACGAATAAGGACGAGAAGGACCAGGCAGGCGGCTGCCATCGGTCCATGCGGCAGCATGACGCTTCAGCAAGTAAGAATTTGGCAGAAAATGCTGCTAGATGCTTCGAGCCAAACGGGCCACTGGAAACTGGGCAAACCCCCAACAAGGTCATGAGCCAGTAATTGAACGCTCCTTCTTCGCAGAGCTTTGTGCCAGTCGAGGCTCGGCGCAGGCGTTGCTGAAGTAGACACTGTTGGGTGTAGCTCCGTGATTGCAGAATTCATCCACCTGGCACGCTACGCAGCGATTCCGTATGTGGGGAGATCACACAGCCCCGGCCCGCGGATGAATGGCCATGTCAGAGGGATTTTGATTCTCACTATTATTAGTACTATTAGTACTGCTATTATTATTATGGACATTATTTTGCATTGCATTGCAAAACTTACGGAAATATTTGCAGCCAGCTCACCACGCCAGCTCCAATGGCGTAAACATTCTTCAGTCCTGTGCTCAGTAGCTCAAGACAACAGAACAGCTTGTTGTTGCATCTTGCTATCTGTGAAGAGACCAACACGCTTAGCCAGATCGGGGTCCCTTGAAATTTAGCCGGAAGCCATAATCGAGTTTTTAGGGTTTAGGTTTTTAGGTTCAATGTGAGGGCTTACCCAGAAAGGCAGAGGCTCTGTTTGGGAACCCCTACAACAAGGTTTACAGTGTAATGAGGTCGGCACCTCCCACATGGAAATTACCACGTGATCACCACAGGCATCCCGCCACTATACAAGGTAGTTTAGAATGATTCCAATTCCAAAATTAAGGCCATGTTGGTCCTATTCCCAATAGAAACCACCATTTAGGGTGAGGTCGGGTGAGGTTGCTTTAAATTGCCCAGTATTACACGGCCATTTCCAGCAGGGGCTAGCTAGGGTAGGTTGGCAGGTTCCTCTCAAAATTTATATTATGGTTTATAGGGGCTATAGTTATAGGTTTAAATAGGGCTATATATTATGGCTTTATACGGATGGTTCCTCAGGGTAATAGAGAAAGTAAAAGCCATTTTCAAACCTACCCCTTCTTCGGTGTCCCTTCTTTCTCTCACGGCGCTCGATGACGGGCTGCTGCGTTCGCGTGCATTGGACTGCCCAATGCCCCAAGGCCGGTGTCCATGAGTCTGGGATTACCCCAGACCCTAAACCCTAAACCCTGAACCCCTAAACCCTGAACCCCTAAACCCTGAACCCCTAAACACTTAACCCTAAACCCCCAAACCCTAGTGTCCATGAGTCTGGGATTTCCCTGCATCCCGGCCTCTGTCTGGATTCTGTGTGGGAGTTTCTCCAAACCAACAGGTGGCCCTCAAGGACCCTAGGGGTATCCAACGCTTGCAAGGGAATTATGGAGGTCTACCTGGAAAGTTAGAGGACTTCGCATTCTATCACCGGGAAAGAAGTTGCAAACTTGAATCGAGGTCCGTGGAATTGGTTACCTAACTTTGCAGGACAGAACGTGTAGAGCAAGTGTTCCAACTCCCATGGCTACACTGGATATGCAAGAAAGGGCGCACCCAGACTTTCTCACTGGACGAAAGTGAGACACGCTTTTGCCTTGTTTGCCCTGCTGGGTATGGGGTGAACAAACCAAGTCAGCTCATACAAGACAGTTGTATCGGCCAAAGGTAACAGTAAACCAGCACGTCAAGTAAACAAAGGAAGAGCATGCATCCTAAGACCATCCGCATCAGCAGCCAGGCCAAGCACGAATCTTCACAGTAACCACGACAAAACTTACAGCAGCAATGCATATCGACATTTCAAAGAACCACGGATTCCTTATGTACAGCCCGCCAAAAACTGCAACCTTATTCGAGCGGCCCCACAAGACGATCCCATTTGGCATTTCAAGCCTCCATTTCCAGAGGGTTTCCAAACAAATTGGCCACATCCTGAACGGCCTTGCAAATCATCATGGAGGTTACTTGTTCCTGTTGGCAAGTATGAAACAATACAGCACATTCCTTATTGGGCTTTCAATAAAGAAGATAACTAAAAGATGTACATGTGCAGTGTGCAGAGTTTTAGGTCTTGAGGGGTCTGCCCAAAGGACATCAGCTGTCCCTGGACCTGCCAGGACCCGATGATACAAACATCACATCCAACTAGTTCATGGACAAGAAACTATCTATTAACGCTCATGCATTTCAGCAGCTCGTTGATACAAAATGCTGGCAAACTCACGACCCAGCAGGACAAGTGTGCAAGATTCTGCAAACCAGGTGAACCATAATCAAGGCCCAGGTGTGAGAGTCCTACACATGCCCGTATGTACGTCATGTAAACAAGTAGAGAGTGGACCCTTCAGATTCCTGTCTCACTCCTTTTTTTGCAGGCCTTTGATGATGGCCCAAGAGGCAAAAGCGGG